GGTCTTCTCGGAGTAAGATTAACTACAGTTCCTTTCATAATCTGCATAAAATAATTACTCTTTCCATTCCGGAATGGGAGGATTAATTGCATCTTCCAATCCATTGGGTGACTAAAAGGTTTTATTGCCCACTGACAGCTATCCTCTATGGTTTCTCCAGGATTTTTTGGCTGGCACTCAGAAGTTCTACAGAGCTGAGTTAGCCACAGTGGATTTCCAATATAATTCAGACAATACACGAAAACAAATCAACCAGTGGGTTAAGGACCAAACTGAAGGTGAGTGGCTCTTGGAATATTCTTATCTCAGCTTTCCAAATCTTTTACTAAGAAGAACAGCCAACACCACTTTTCTCTCTCTTGCAATTTGCAGTATATTCCATTGCTTGTCAACCTCATTTGCCATGATTTCAGCAGCCGTGGCAAAAAATTAAAAACAAAACAAAAAAAACAGTAAATTAAAACCCCTTCACACACACACACAATTTAAGAGACTGTGTTGTAGAAGCCTTCACTGTCGGGAACAGCAGCTTAACCAAGGTTGCAATTCTGTGTACCTGGAATAATCTATTGTGAACACCATGGGATTAAATTTTGAGATGAATGGGACTGCTCTGGAAATAAAATGCCACTGAAGTAGCAGGCTGGCTGTGGTTGGAAACCGAAATCTCAACTAAATATAATCCAGTAAGACCATTCTTCATACTTTATTTAACCTTACCCAGGCAAAGTAGAAAACCTTTAAGACTGCTTTGTACTGAGAGAAATCTGGCAAGGAGTCATCCCCATAGCATGTGTGGGGAACATTTGGCCTTCCAGATTTTGCATACCCACAATTCCCAGCAGCCCAAGAAGCATGACTAGGGATAATGGGATCTGTAGATCAGGAACATTTGGAGAGCCAAAGGTTTCCCACATCGCACCTGCTTTATTGTGTGAATGGGGACACATGTGATACTTGACTTCCAAATGGAAGTCCTCCATTTTGATGGCATCCAGTTTGAGTTTGGTGTTCCTGATTCAACAGAAACCTGAGCCCAAACCCAAAAACCCAGGTGATTGTCAACAGCCAGGAAGTAAAACCAGCCCTGTTAGGTAGAACAAGTGCCACCACTCCTCTTTCGTTTCCTGTTTCGTTTATTCATTCATTTATTGCTTTATTAAGATGAAAAATTATTTCAAAGTGCAAAACTACTTGAGATCAGGGGAGGTTTCTTGAGGACATACAATTCTCCTGTGCACAGCATCAATTTGCTATTTCAGGACTTCCGGTCGGTGCCAGCGCTTAATGGCGGTCCTACCTCCGAGCTCCGGAGAAGGACTGCTTCGCAAGTTCGGGTCTTACCCGCTACGGCGAGCGGGGGACCCCTAAAATCCCAGGCGCTGAAGCCTGAGAACAAGGAGACTCGGTGGGCACCTTTGCGCCCCCCGGTACCGTGAAAGAGCCTTTTTAAAGGCTACGGATCGACATCGGGAGTGAGCGCGGTGCTGAGAGTCGCTACCCAGCCTGCGAAGTGAAGCCGCGTCGCCATAAGCGGAGAGCGCCGATTCCTTCCTGAAAAGAAAATTTGGACTGAATTCCCGTGAGTAAGAGCTGGAGAATAATCGGGACCTTTTAAATTTTGTAAATTGGGCTAAAAACGGGGAGATTTAAACCAAGGAAGTCTGCCTCCCCCCGACTGCATGAAAGTGAAAGCAACGGAACTCTAAACTTGCATCCGTTGAAACCCGCTCTTTGATCAGCTAAACCGGACATTTAGACCTTTGATCTCCCCTCTAGCTAGCAGGGCAGAGGGGAGGTGAATGAGATTAATAACTGCACGATTTATTTGAAGTAAAAAACCTCTGCTGTCTCACCTATTGAAAGCATGAAACGGTCTGCCTTCCTAGGACACTGAACTGACTTTTCCCTGCAAAGTGATACTTTGATACAAAGTTTTCACAGTGCCTGGCTACAGTATATTATAAGAAGAAGCAGTATAAATTGGGCAACTGTGGCAATTTGAAGTTATAAGTTTTTAGTAACATTGACTTTGACTGTGTTAATCTCCTTTTTTACATCTTTGGACATTCTCCTTTGTCTTCGTATTTGGATATTTTGTTCTATGGCCATTTTGATTTGCTCCCTCTAGAGGATAAAGTAAAGTCCGGCACGGCCTAAGACAGTGGAATTTTCCAACGGAGAACAAATCCCGTGGGAATTGACCTTGACATGAGTGGCTCACAAGAAGAGATTGTTACAAGAGCTAAGACCAAGCAACAACAACAACAACAGCTGCAGCAGCAACAGACAAAGAAAAGAGGCTCAATTTCAGGCGTAACAGCCGGATCAGCAGGAACAACAGGACAAGATAAAGGAACAGCCGCCTCTATGGAAGCTGTGACAGATGCTCTCCTCAAGATAAACCAAACTCTGGAGTCTTTGACAAAACAGACTTCAGAGAATACACAAAAATTAACAGAAATATCAGTAAGATTAAACCAGAACACAGAATCTATAAATAAATTGGTGGAGGAAAACGCTACTACGCGCCAAATTGCTGAAGATGCTAAAGCTACTGCTGGAGAGATACAGGAGAAATTAGAGCCGATTGCTAAGAAGGTCTATGAGCATGATGCAACTTTGGCCTTGTGGGAGTTACAGAGAAAAGAGAGAAACTTGAAATTAAGACTGATTCCGGAGAATGAAAGAGACAATCTTGTGGAATATCTGACACGGGAGTTTGTGGATTGTTGGGACCTTGAGGAAGACGAATTTAAAATCACGACAGCTTTCAGATTGGGTAAAAAGCAAGACAGAAAGACCCCGAGAGATTGCTTGATCACACTCAGATCCAAGGAGGAAAGAGACAAAATATTAGGACTACACTTTGAAAAGGCCTTGCAAATCGGAAATTCAGCTGTACAGATCTTTAAAGACATCCCAAAATACATTTTGGATTTAAGAAACTTCTACAAGGATTTGGTTCTTTTGCTAAAGAAAAATTCCATTCGCTTCAGGTGGGAGTTCCCACAAGGACTGTCATTTGACTACAAGGCAAAGAAGGTGAAAATAAAGACAATCCAAGACAAGGACAAATTTTTGGCAAGAAATCAGGAGGACCTGCAGAAGGGGACTGTGGACGCACTTGCAGAACAGAGGAGAGCATTGGAGATTTTGAATCTCTCGATCGGACAAAAACCACCACCATCAGAAGAAGAGCAACAACTTGGAGCTGTTGGAGGAGTTTAGAAAAATAATAAGATGGCTCTGCAATTCCTTAGTTGGAATTGTAATGGGCTCAATGGGCCTTTGAAGAGAAGACAAGTATTTCATATATTGAACAGAGAACAATTGGACCTGATATGTCTACAAGAAACTCACATAACCAGAGCCCACAGGAGACTACTCATAAATAAAAGGCTAGGACAAGAATTTATTTCATCAGATAAAGTTAAGAAAAGAGGAGTTGTAATATATGTGAAAGAGAAATGGGCCCCAAAAATGATATTCAAGGACGAACAAGGGAGATACCTGGCAGTGGAGATACAAATACAAGGAGAAAAATTTTTAGTGGTTGGAATTTATGCACCGAATGAAGGCAAATCTGACTTCTTTAAGAGACTTCATGAAACCCTGACTGACTATTTGGATTACAATATGATAATCATGGGAGACATGAATGGCGTGGTCTCCACTAATATGGACAAGGCACAAAGACTAACAGTTAGCAAGGAAGGGAGACTCCCTAAGACTTTTTTTGAAATGACAGAAAATATGGACTTGATAGACATATGGAGAACAAGGAACCCTCTGGAGAGAGAGGGAACTTTCTTCTCCCAAGCAATGATGACCTGGACCAGAATCGATCAAATTTGGATTACTAGTGGAATGGTCCCAAAGATTAAGAAAGTGGAAATCTGCCCAAAAACTTGCTCCGACCATAACGCCGTGAAGATGGAGATGAAACTCACAATAACTGGTCAATTTAGATGGAGAATGAATGACACCCTCTTTCGAGATAAGGAGATTCTCACGAAGGCCCAAAAGACCCTAAAAGACTATTTTGAAATAAATCTGAGGACCGACGTGGAGAAAAGAGTGATCTGGGATGCAAGTAAGGCGGTGATGAGAGGATTTTTGATTCAACAAAATTCAATAAAGAGGAAAAAACAAAATGAGAAAAAAGAAAAGATTTTGGAAATGATAAAGGAAGGAGAGAGAAAATTAAGAACAAAACCAAAGTCTCAGGACATCTTAAGAGAGATTAAGTTATATCAAACACAATATATGGAATTGATGAACCAAGAGATTGAATGGAAGATAAAGCAAATGAAGCAAAAGACTTTTGAATCAGCAAATAAATGTGGCAAACTTTTGGCATGGCAACTGAAGAAAAGGCAGAAATTAAATACAGTTACAAGCCTAGAGGTGGACGGGAAAAATATATCTAAACCCAATGAAATTAGAAACTGCTTTCTAAGTTACTTCAAAAAACTTTACACTCAAGGCCCGCAAAATGAAGAAGATATAGACAAATTCCTTGGAAAATATGGATTACAAAACATCTCTCACCAAAGTAAGATGGATTTGAACCAGAGAATCTCAGAACAAGAGATAGAGGCTGCCATTCAGAATATGCAATTGGGCAAATCTCCAGGACCAGATGGACTGACTTCCGGATACTACAAATCGCTGAAGGAATGGCTGACTCAACCATTAAGAGAAGTTTGTAACGAGATCCTTGAGGGAAAAAGGGCACCTGAATCGTGGAAAGAAGCATATATTTCACTCATACCAAAGTCAGAGACTGAAAAGACCCAACTTAAGAACTACCGCCCAATATCATTGCTTAATGTGGATTACAAAATTTTTGCAGACATTTTGGCAAAAAGATTTAAAAGAGTGTTGATGGAGAAGATTCATAAGGACCAAGCAGGCTTTCTCCCTAAAAGACACCTGGCAGATAATGTAAGGAATGTAATAGACATTCTGGAAAAGCTAGAGGTGAACATAAACACTAAAGTAGTACTGATCTTTGTGGATGCGGAGAAAGCCTTTGACAATATTTCTTGGAGTTTTATGAGGAAGAATCTTCATGGGATGGGGGTAGGCCAGGGTTTTGAGAATGGTATGGCTGCAATATATTCCGAACAAAAAGCTAAACTGATTGTAAACAATGTTGTGACTGAGGAACTTAAGATAGAAAAAGGAACACGACAGGGGTGCCCGATTTCCCCATTACTTTTTATCTCAGTTCTGGAGGTGTTGCTGAACATGATAAGAAATGACCAGCAGGTCAAAGGAGTGCAGGTCGGAGCTAAACATTATAAGTTAAGAGCGTTTGCAGATGACTTAGTATTGACTTTGCAAGAGCCAAACACTAGTACGAAAAAGGTTTTAGAAATAATACAACAGTTTGGCCAGGTAGCTGGATTTAAGCTGAATAAGCAAAAAACTAAAGTTTTAGGGAAAAACCTAACAGATATGGAAAAGGAGAAATTTCAAGAGGAGACAGGCTTGACAGTGGTCAAGAAGGTGAAATACCTAGGGGTTTACTTAACATCTAAAAATCTGAATTTGTACAAGGACAACTATGAAAAATGTTGGTCAGAAATTAAAAAAGATTTAGAAATATGGTCAAATTTGAAATTGTCAATGTTAGGCCGAATTGCAGTGATCAAAATGAATGTATTGCCTAGAATGTTATTTCTGTTTCAGACCTTGCAGATCCTTGACAAGATGGAATGTTTCAAGAGGTGGCAGAAAGATATTTCGAAATTTGTCTGGCAGGGCAAAAAGCCCAGAATTAAATTTAAAATATTGACAGATGCCAAGGAAAGAGGGGGGTTTGCCCTGCCGGACTTAAAATTGTACTATGAGGCAGCAGCTTTTTGCTGGCTGAAGGAATGGATGCTCCTCGAGAACACAGACATTTTGGATCTGGAAGGTTTTAACAATGTTTTTGGTTGGCATGCATATCTATGGTATGACAAAATTAAGCAGCATAGTGCCTTTAAAAATCACATTGTTAGAAAAGCATTGTTTAATGTATGGATGAGATATAAAGATCTGTTGGAAAACAAAACCCCTAGATGGGTGTCACCAGTCGAGGCTAAAGCAGTAAAGAAACTCAATATGGAGGTCGGATGGCCGAAGTATTGGGAAATTTTGGAACAGGATGGAGATAAGTGGAAATTACAAAGCTATGACAAATTGAAACATAAAGTACAAAACTGGCTTCAATATTATCAAATAATGGAGCTTTTCAAACAGGACAGGAAAATTGGCTTTCAGGTGGAAAAATCAAAACTAGAGATTGAACTGCTAGAACCCAACACTAAGAATTTATCAAGAATGTATAACTTGTTGTTGAAATGGAATACACAGGATGAAACGGTGAAATCAGCTATGATTAAATGGGCACAAGATATTGGTCATGACATTATGTTTGCTGACTGGGAACAGTTATGGACCACCGGTGTTAAGTTTACGGCATGTAATGCCTTAAGAGAAAACATAATGAAAATGATTTACAGGTGGTACATGACCCCAGTCAAGCTGGCAAAAATCTATCATCTGCCCGATAACAAATGTTGGAAGTGTAAAGAGACTGAAGGTACCTTCTACCACCTTTGGTGGACATGCCCGAAGATTAAGGCCTTCTGGGAAATGATCTATAATGAAATCAAAAAGGTACTCAAATGTACCTTTTCTAAAAAACCAGAGGCCTTTCTCTTGGGCATTGTCGGCCAATTGGTGACAAAGAGGGATAGAACTTTCTTCATGTACGCTACAACAGCAGCAAGAATACTCATCGCAAAGTATTGGAAGACACAAGATCTACCCACTCTGGAAGAATGGCAGATGAAAGTGATGGACTATATGACATTGGCCGAGATGACAGGCAGAATCCGTGACCAACGAAAAGAGACGGTGGAAGAAGAATGGAGAAAATTTAAAAGTTATCTTAAGGACTACTATAAACTTAATGAATGCTAAAATGTTGTGGTTTCCAGAAACAAAGGGGTACAGGGACATAAGGTTAGAAATATAAAAGAGGACTAAGATGACAGAGATTGGAAAGTAACAATTGGGAGTTGCTAGTTGAATTATGGACATTGGGATGCAGAGAGGGGGGGTATGGGGAAGTCCAAGAAAAGAGGTTTATGAAAATATGTTTGAAACTATATGTGTATGTTTGTCATTTTTAGTGTTTGTTTGTTTTTCTTAAAAATTTTGTAAAACCAATAAAAATTTTATAAAAAAAAAAAATTGCTATTTCAAATGAATAATTTTATTTTAAAGAGGTCATCCATGAAAAGGAAAGGGTAGATTTGGGGGCTGAACAAAATAAGGGTGACTCCAGCACAACCCTACTCCTCTAATAATAATATCATGTGTGTATTGGCTCTTAATAGCTAGATAATTTGTTATGTAACTTTTCCTTCAAGGTAAAATCTGTGACTTGTTACCTGAGCATTCAATTGATAAACGCACGAAATTGGTTCTGGTGAATGCCATCTACTTCAGAGCCGACTGGGCAGAGAAGTTTCAAGACAAATTCACTATGGAGATGCCTTTTAGACTGAATATGGTAATTGAACGTTTAGTCTATAAAGATTTTTTCTTGTACCTCCAACTTGTACAATGTACAAGGTATATATAGGGCTAAATATGTAATGGTTGAATTATCAGGGCTTAGTTCCACTGAATCACATGAGCTCAATTGAGCTGTTGGGTTGTATCGGAGTTAGTCAGGCTAAGGATAGATCTATTAACATTAATGGACATTACTAAATTAATACTCTTAGGTGGAATCTAGACACATAAAAAATAACGTTGTGAAAATGCCTTTTAAAAAAAGGTTTTGAAAAAGATATTTAATTTGTCATAGCTCACCATCGCCATCTATTGTCACATTTGTATAATGCACTTTACAACACATTTAAAATGTTTTATTTGCAGCTGTATAGCTGAGTCTTAGAAGAGCTTAGTTGGATACACCTCACAATCAAACATATAAAAGGTTGCTTGTTCGTGACTAGATGTAGCAGATTGTGAATGGCACACTTCTGGATCCAACCCGGTGTATTTATATGATTGCAAACATTTTCCCCCATCAAATTTTAACCAAGAGCAAGCATTTTACTAAACTTCCTGGATCAGTTTTCCATTGGTCAACTTGAAAGCAAAGCACTGGAAATGACTAACAGGCTTTGTTTTAGCATTTCCCTGTCATTATTTTATTGGCCTTGCCAAAGAACAATCAGCTGTGCTGTAAATTGATTATGCTGTTAACAGCTGCAATCCTGTGCACACCTAGCCCTGGGAGTAAGTTCCAATGTATTCAGTTTGACTTTCTTCCAAGTAGGATTCCTCTGCCATGGTATAAAGCACAGCTTCACTCTTAATATGTTTTGTTTTGTTTTTTTACAAGATCCTCCTTCTCTGTATGAACTCTTGCAAAGAAATAAAATAAAATAAAATAAAATAAAATAAATAAAATAAAATGATGGAAGTCTTTGCTTACATTCTCTTTTTATATGATCATTGTGTATTTTTTTATATATTAAAAAAAAAACTATCCAGAAGGAAAAGAAGATGGTGAATATGATGTTTCTGAAAAAGAAGCTTCCTTTGGGGCACATTCCTGAGTGTAGGTGTCGGGTGCTAGAACTTCCTTACGAGGGAAAAGAATTTAGCATGATGATCCTGCTGCCTGATGATATCGAGGATAGCTCCACTGGCCTGGAACAGGTAATTCTGACTTTCTGGTTTCCCCCCTTTCTTCCTCTAAAATAACTTTTCCAAATGGTACAGTGGTGCCCCGCAAGACGAATGCCTCGCAAGACGGAAAACCCGCTAGACGAAAGGGTTTTCCGTTTTGGAGGTGCTTCGCAAAACGAATTTCCTATGGGCTTGCTTCGCAAGACGAAAATGTCTTGCGAGTTCCTGCAGGGTTTTTTTTCCTCCCCCCCCTTTTCCCCAAGCCGCTAAGCCGCTTATCAGCTGATCCACTAAGCCGCTTAAGAGCTGATACGCTAAGCCGCTAAGCCGCTTAACAGCTGATCGCTAAGCCACTTATCAGCTGATCCGCTAAGCCGCTTAACAGCTGATCCGCTAAGACACTTATCAGCTGATCCACTAAGCCGCTAATCAGCTGATCCGCTAAGCCCGCTAAGCCGCTAATAGCGCTAATCCGCTAAGCCGCTAATGGGCTTGCTTCGCAAGACGAAAAAACCGCAAGACGAAGAGACTCGCGGAACGGATTCTTTTCGTCTTGCGAGGCACCACTGTACATTGCCAAAACGCTGTAGTTGCAGTGCAAGCGGCACAGCAACAATATGTTCATTCCTTCTCTCTCTCTCTTTAAATTGCAGCTGGAGAAGCACCTCACCTTTGGAAAGCTCCTAGAGTGGACACACCCGGCAAAGATGGAAAACACTGTAGTTTATGTGCATCTGCCTAAATTTAAACTGGAGGAGAGCTATAACCTCAACAATGACTTGGCAGCGTTGGGACTGCTGGATATCTTCAACAGCAGAAAGGCAGATTTATCTGGAATGTCAGAAGCCCGGAATCTCTATGTGTCCCATATTGTTCACAAGTCATTTATAGAAGTGAATGAAGAGGGAGCAGAAGCGGCGGCAGCAACTGCTGTTGTTATTACAACGACATGTACCTCTACACATATTATGGAAGTGGATTTCAACGCTGACCACCCCTTCCTATTTTTTGTCCGCCACAACCCAACAAGAAGTGTACTTTTCTTTGGCAGGTTTGCTTCTCCATGAAAAGTAGAATAAACGGTTGCACCGGATAAATTGATGGACAACATACTGCTTGTTATTTCCTTGTTTTAGCTTTTTTTCCAGATACTTAGAATTATGGAATTGTGGAGTAGGAAGGGACATTCCAACTGCTTGCAATGCAGGAATTCTGCCCATGGCCTTCCTTGGTTCTTACAGGCTTTTAGAAGGAATGTGGTCCATTCTGGATATGGATTCATTTGGGGAAATTATTCAATCTTTATTTATCACAGCATGCTGCTGATTCAGCTCCAGTAATTTGTTTGTTATACTCAAACCTGATAAGGTCCCCGCCCCCCCCCCCAGTTAGCTTCTTCTTATAGAGACTAATTTGTTTGACATCTGCTTCAAGAAGTGTTCAATGAGGGCCTACAGTAAAAGATAAAAAATGCTTAGAATAGGCTACTATTAGAGAGAGAGAGAGCCTTTTGAGGGCAAGCTTTCATCCCAATCTGCATTTGGTATTCTATGTCCAGTCTGGAGATCTTTTTCCTAGTCTGTATTTGTACTGTATTTGAAATGGCTTTTATAAACAAACAAACAAACAAACAAACAAACAAACAAGGAATTGTTTTAATTGTTTTTACTGTGGAATCAGTTTGAGATATTTCATGGAAAGCTATTCATAAATATAATCATCATCACCATCATCATCATCTTCTCGGGGATGCGAGTGGAGCTGTGGTCTAAACCACTGAGCCTAGGGCTTGCCGATTGGAAGGTCGGCGGTTCGAATCCCAGCGACGGGGTGAACTCCCATTGCTCAATCCCAGCTCCTGCTAACTACAGTGTGCTCTAGCTGTATTTTGCATCATCCCTCCACACAGTGCTACAGTTCAAAAGCATGTCAAAGTGCAAGTAGATAAATAGGTACCGCTCCAACAGGAAGGTAAACAGCGTTTCCATGCGCTGCTCTGGTTCGCCAGAAGCGGCTTAGTCATGCTGGCCACATGACTCGGAAGCTGCACGCCGACTCACTCGGCCAATAAAGCAAGATGAGCGCCACAACCCCAGAGTTGGCCACGACTGGACCTAATGGTCAGGGGCCCCTTTACCTTTTTAAATGGGTAATTGGTCCCCATCTCTCTTCTGCACACATGCAAACACAGACAGCATTCTGAGCACAGCCTGCTACCAGGGCATACCATGAGACAGACAGACAGACAGACAGACAGACAGACAGATGATGGATAGATAGATGATAGACAGACAGACAGACAGACAGACACACACACACACACAGATCCCAAGGACCGCAGAAGCCAGTGCTGCTTGTCTAAGGCAGAGAATTCCACAAAAGCACTTTACCCCTCCCCTGACAGTTAAATTTATTATTGCTATATTTTTACTATCCATTTGCTTTCTTTTCATGATACCCAAAACCAGCTGCCTGAGGGGCTGCCTCGTTCTACCAAGTGACAGAGTTGGATCTGTTAGGGCCCCAAGACATACCACCAACCCTGTAGTGTGAAAGAAGCTTGTTTTCACACACCCCACTTCTTGCAGGTTAATGGATTTGGCTACCTTTCTCAGGGGCCATTAAAGTGTTTCAGCTCAGCTGAAAGTCTGAAAAGAAGCAGCAGCCCGCAATTAACCTGCACTGGGGCTCCACCTACTGCCTGTTGCTTGCAATAAAATTCAAACATGCTCACTATTGCAAGCACTGAAGTCTTACTGACAGCTTGCTCCATGGCTGTGTGTGAGAGTTTTCGGAGCATTGTAGTGTTTAGTTGCACAGGTTAAAACACACACACATATTTTAGTTGCTAGCCTCATTCATCATACTTAATTGTGGTTGATGCAGCATTAAACTCTTATTTCTTGCATTTTTAGCTCCCTTTCCCTACAACGAATCCCAAGCAGGTCACATGGTTATCTTGTCACAACAGTCCGGTGAAGTAGGATGCATTGAGAAACAGTGATGAAGTTTGGGTTATCCAGCGAGATTTATATCTAATTGGGGATTTAAAATCTGTTTTCCTGAGTCCTAGCCCAACCCTCAATTGCAGGAATGGTAAAACTTGTGACTCTCTACTTGTTGTTGTTTAGTCGTTTAGTCGTATCCGACTCTTCATGACCCCATGGACCAGAGCACACCAGGCACTCCAGTCTTCCACTGCCTCCCGCAGTTCGGTCAAACTCATGCTGGTAGCTTCGAGAACACTGTCCAACCATCTCGTCCTCTGTCATTCCCTTCTCCTTGTGCCCTCCATCTTTCCCAACATCAGGGTCTTTTCCAGGGAGTCTTCTCTTCTCATGAGGTGGCCAAAATATTGGAGCCTCAGCTTCAGGATCTGTCCTTCCAGTGAGCACTCAGGGCTGATTTCCTTCAGAATGGAGAGGTTTGATCTTCTTGCAGTCCATGGGACTCTCAAGAGTCTCCTCCAGCACCATAATTCAAAAGCATCAATTCTTCGGCGATCAGCCTTCTTTATGGTCCAGCTCTCACTTCCATACATCACTACTGGGAAAACCATAGCTTTAACTATACAGACCTTTGTTGGCAAGGTGATGGACTTTCTACTAGTTGGATTCAATTCCCCTGGCAATTGGGCCCTAGTCACTGTGCTAGCTTTTTGTTCATCCGAGTTCCAATTTCCATGGCTCATACAGTTTCTGTCAAAGAAGCACTATCACATTTCTGCAAACATATTTGCCTTGTTACACATTTGAGTCTGGCACCTTGCAAATCCGGCTTAGCTTAATGCGTTGTGCCAAGAAATTCTGTGGAACGCGTGATTGGGACATGCGACAGGTCACCTAGATGACATTTGGAGACTGCCTAGGTTCAATACATGTTTTGTTTTATTGCAAGGGGGAGGGAAAGTAGGAGGAAAAGCTTCAGGGGCTGAAGAAAAGTGTAACACAAAACGATGCATTTTGGAGTAATCCGTTAGTGACAGTTCTCACCCAATGCATGAGCTGCTCTAGAAGATCACTTGCAATGGTCAGAATCTGTGGCAGGGCGATGTATGCATTACTGACTTAAAACACAGGCAATTGCTTTTCTCAATTTGGATTGAAGCTTCTTTGGGAGGGGGGAATGCATCAAAATACAGTTCTACATAGGAAACGACCGGGTAAGTATGAATTATGACTACTGCCGTGTGTACTCTGCTTCCTAAGTAAGGTAGGTTAAAGGTAAATGACCCCTGGATGGTTAGGTCCAGTCAAAGGCGACTATGGGTTGCGGCAGTTAGGCCAAGGGAGCCGGTGTTTGTCCACAGACAGCTATCTGGGTTATGTGGCCAGCATGACTAAACTGCTTCTGGTGCAACGGGAGACCGTGACGGAAACCAGAGCACACGGAAACGCCGTTTACCTTCCTGCCACATTGGTACCTATTAATCTACTTCAACTGATGTGCTTCCGAACTGCTAGGTTGGCAGGAGCTGGGACAGAGCAGCAGGAGCTCAACTCATTGCAGGGATTCGAACCGGCAACCTTCTGAAAAGCAAGCCACCTGTGTCCCTAAACCAGCGCTGGGAGTGTACTGGATGCTGGGTAAATGCAGGACTGTGTACATAGCCCAAGATGACACCTGGTGATTGCCTGGGATAGTATCAAACAATATATCCACCTGCATCCCTGAACATTCCCACAATACGTGTTGGAGGAGAGAGGCAAAGCTGGGGTACAAGCCCAAGGAATGGCATGAACACTCCTTCTGTGTCCGTTTTAAGGCCTTTGTGGCATAGGTTGTTAAGTCCCTGTTAGGCTTGCTAAATTGTCAGAAAAATGCAGCCGTTTTTGTGCCATTAAGAGCAGATCAATGTGCAGAAAGCCACAGGTGAAACTTTTCACATGCATAGCTAAAAGATGAACACGTGCAACTGACCGAAGACAAACGACTTGGCTGGAAAAACGATTGTGGCTGGTTGAAGAGTTGTGATACTGCAGAGGCTGGCTGAACTGTTGCAGAATTTTCAAGAGCTGGGATCACGTGATTCAAAATAGAAGGCCAAAATTAGGGTTTAAAGAAGCAGAGAGGGATTATGTGCTGCTGTGAAAGCAACATTGGTTGGGATCTGGGTTAGTATATAATTAGTAAGCTATATGGGTTGGGTTCTGGGTTAGTAATCCATATTTAAACCAAATGACTTTTCTATGTTTGAATCACGTTTAAAGAGTATTTAAAGCTTTTATATGCTTATACAAACATGGGTGGTTTTATTGTGTTCTAGCTTGGTTAGTCAATTAAAAGTGAAGGACACTATTGTCCTTCAGCACAATAGCTCATAGGATCACAGATTAAGCAAAGCAGTCTTTTAGTTTGAAAGGAAATTAACAAACCTTGACTGAGCCTTTTGCTGATTCTACAATTTCTTAGTTATCCAAACTTGTCTGCCTGTTTCCCCTAGAGGCATCCGATTGCATCATGTATACTGGAGGCATCCGATTGCATCTGTCCACATGCAGAACAGACTTTTCCTCATGGAATGGGGCTTCCTGTTCCTCTTCTCCCAGCTGCAACCACCCCCCATGCATCCTCCAAATCTGTTCCTGAAAGTTGGGCGACCCTCTGGAGCTGGGGCTGGTGTGTGTGTGTGTGTGTGTGTGTGAGAGAGAGAGAGAGAGAGAGAGATCTCCTATTGTACAACGCTGGATATCACACAATGGAAAGACAAGAGTCTAGTACAATGCCTGTGTATGCTTAAGGTGACCTTTCAAATCCGGAATGGAAGTTGGTTAATACTCCTTTCACTACCATGGTCCCCTCCAGATGTTTCAGGCTTTCCCCAGGCTGAAGATGGCTGAGCTAACATAACCACCACCTTTTGGGAGTAAAACAGCAGAACCCTGAACATTAACAGCTCACTTACTGCGAGTTCCTAGAGGCAAGGATGAAACCAGCTGCCATTGCTCCGTCGCTTTTTGACAGTAAAGGTACCCCTGCCCGTACGGGCTAGTCTTGACAGACTCTAGGGTTGTGCGCCCATCTCTCAAGAGGCCGGGGGCCAGCGCTGTCCGGAGACACTTCCGGGTCACGTGGCCAGCGTGACATCGCTGTTCTGGCGAGCCAGAGCAGCACACGGAAACGCCGTTTACCTTCCCGCTAGTAAGCGGTCCCTATTTATCTACTTGCACCCAGGGGTGCTTTCGAACTGCTAGGTTGGCAGGCGCTGGGACCGAGCAGCGGGAGCGCACCCCGCCGCGGGGATTCGAACCGCCAACCTTTCGATCGGCAAGCCCTAGGCGCTGAGGCTTTA